CAAATGTAACGTCTACTAAAATATGTGTATCCGCTGAAAATAAAGTCTGAAGTTATAAAAATATATTGTCTTAAAAAATAAAATCAATTAATATATATTCGCCATCAAAGGACGAAACGCGACGGTTAACTTTTCCTTTTATCTTTATTCATGTATATATATATATGTGTGTGTGTGTGTGTGTGTGTGTGTGTGTGTGTGTGTGTGTGTTTAGGCAGTAAATTCTCTTTTAGGCATGTCTGATTGAATAAATTGCAAACATTATGTCTGCTTATTTTCATTACAATTCTTTCGTATTCACGAATATTTTTCCGTATATTAAAATTGAATAAGGCAAGAAATGCACTGTAAGTATGAGAATCACTTTTATTTGCTATGTACTTTTCCTTTCTTTATAGTGAATTTCTTATCTTAATTTATTTCAATATACGGAAAACATTCGTGAATAAGAAAAGGATTATGAGGTGTAATTTATTCAATCAGCCATGCCTAAATAATATATATATATATATATATATATATATATATATATATATATATATGTATGTATGTATATCTCAAAAATACCTCCCACATAAAGTCTTACGAGATAAGGAGGTATTTCTGGGAAATATGGGAGGTATTTCCGCCTCACCCTATAATCCCCGGCAAACACGAAATGAGCTTGGTTTCATCTAAATTCGTATTCTGGTTTAGCCTCGTTGTGAAATCATTATTAAAGAGTTACTCTCGCAGATTCTTACATTACTGTGTGCCACCGTCATTAAATCGTTTTTCTTTTGGCCTGAGCAAAGTTCACATCTCAGCATGGAGCAATACTGTAAAAGCTCGTCTCACTAACCAGTCTTGCAGCGATTTCAACTATCATCGAGAGACTAAAACGTGTGGCCTTGTGCCAGCGTTAGTTAAATTGATTAAATGCTGTAAATAAGTTGGGTTTTTTTTTTTGTTTTTGTTTTTTTTACTGAAACGGATATACACAAGGAAATTCTGACAAATGAATGTGCGTATATATTCATTTCTAAATCCAAGCGTGAAGGTTTAGAAGTGTGAAGTTTTCCTCTAACTCCGAGGTTTTTGGTTTTTTTTTTCTTTTAATCAATTCACACCAAGCAAAGCGATAATGCCACTAAGACGCAATGGAATACTGAAAGTGAAAGTGAATGAGAAGACTTGCGAAAGAACTGGAAACCCAATCCTAAGTAGGAAACAAGCTTCTACTCCTTTTCAAGAGACTGGGGAGGAGTGTGAACCGGACGATAGGCGAACTTATCAACTTCTATTGAGAAAAAAAAAATGAAAATAAAATGTCAGAGTTTAGGCGGAGGCGTTAGAAGTATAGAGTTGAAATAGACTTTAGAAGGAGCCGTAAACCTAATTCCAAAAAAGGAAACAGGTGATAAACCCCTACTCCTGTACAAAAGACTCGGGAGGAGTGTGAACCGGGCGATAAGCAAACCTATCTGCTGCTATTAAATGAATAGAGAATGAAGAGGAGTTAATATTACACCTCGTGTAGAGGAAAACGGGAAAAAGTTATTTGCTTGTTATCAAAGATTTTTCATTTTTTTTTTTTTTTTTTTTTTAATGATTAGTCTAGTTTCCGGTTAAGGTTACTGACCTTTCTTGACACAAATAGCTTTTCCCGCTACTATGAAGTAACACGAACACCCATGCACAGACACTCAGGCGCACGAACGCACGCTTGAGCGCACACACACACACACATTCGCATACACACAGACATAAACATGCACAACATACAGATGAAACCTTTTTTTATTTAAAAATAAAAATTGTTCCACCCTCCTAACTTTAAATTAAACATTTTATTCCGTATTTTCATTTGATTGCTTCCCCTCCCCTTGTTGTTGTTGTTGTTGCTCTTCTTCTTCTTCTTCTTCTTCTTCTTCTTCTTCTTCTTCTTCTATTTCGTTCTCTCTGTCTTTCGTATTGTTTCACTTTCGTTTGCCGAAGATAACGGGGGGAGGTGTTAGCTGGTGACGTCACAACGCCGCCCGTCTGCCGACCAATCGCACAGCAGCATGGCGGGTCCTCTCGACCAATGGTGTTGCCGGCGAAAAAATAATGGGCCAACACGCGAATTCGTGTTAACAAACCAATTATGTGTGATGTCATTCGGATTGAAGATGTTTATAACGAGGCTCTGCTAGCAAACACGGAGAAGAAGAAGAGGAAAAATAAGAAGAAGAAGAAGAGGAAGAAGAAAGGAAGGAAGTAAAGGAGCTGGGAAGAAAAAAAAAACGTAAAAACTGTTTCTTTTCTTCTTAACCCTGCATTCTTTTTCTTTTCTCTTTTCTTTTAGTCTTAAATTTTTACCATTTTTTTTTTTTTTTTAACTAACGATCGGCACTACTGCTGCCGGAGTCTTGTGTCGTGGAGAACGGCATCACAATCAGCAGGAGTTCCTACTTACACTACCGTTACATCAAGGAACTGGTATTTTTGGTTTTGGGGCCGTCGAGAAGGTGACAATATTTACACAAAAAGACCATTGGATTTGCTTTTTAAAATAATTATTTATTTCATCACGTTTTATTTTGTTTTTGTTTGTTTTTGTTTCTTGTTTTTACCCCCACTTTCTCTGTTAAAAGGTGCGGGTGTGCTTTATTTTCATACACGATACAGACGACACTATAAATGAAAACAAAATATATTTTAAGAAAAACAAACTAAGTAAAAAACAACAAAAAAAAACACAAAAACAAAAAAAAAAGAGATAAAAAAAAGAAAGATAACAAAGAAAAAGAAATGCAAGCACGTGTATAATTTGTGCTAGCCGGAAATAGATTGAGTTTTTAAAAAATAAGAAAGAAAAAAAGCAGGAAAAAAAAAAAACAAAAAAAAAACAAGAAAGAAAGAAAACATCTTCTAACGGAAGGACACAAGACTCCCAAGGAATTAAACACAAACTCCAATATTTTTTATCAGACAGCTTTCTCGGAAAAAGATACGAAGCCAACACCTGTATATACAGTGACACCTATAAAAAACATATATATATATATATATAGAGAGAGAGAGAGAAAGAGAGAGAGAGACCTATATATATATATATTTACTTCTTTTGTATATACATAGATATATGTGTGCGTGTGTGTGTGGGTGCACATGGATTTATGTGACAGTTAAATTAAACACACGAAAGTAAAGAAAAAATGCCTACAAAAACGCAAATTATCATTGAAGTAAGTACAGGAAATAAATAAACGCGTTATTTACATAAATTCAAAACGGGGATATACTTAAATAAGTACACACACACAAACATACACACTCACACATACATATACACATACATATATACATACATAAGTATGTATGTTCTTCAAAGTAATCAAATATATCTATTTTGTTTATAAATTCGAAGATTGTCTTCAGCAAGTATGTGCTTATATATTTGTAAATAAATGAATATATGTACATGTATTTTGGGTGTAGATACACAGATATAAGTTTTGTTTATAAATCTATAATATATATAGATACAGACATATATATATACATATATATATGAAGCTCTAATGTTTGACTGTTTTATGAAGTCTATTGAACCTCAAACATCATTTGATTTAATTAAACTTATATTTTGGTTCAGTATGATAAAAAAAAAATGTTTGCTTGTGATCACAACCACATGATATAACCCAAAACAACCACACAGGGAAAATCCAGGTTCGAGCCTGTACATCAAAACACTCATCTGTATATCAACAAACAGGTCGCTTGACGCAATTACAGACTTGACAACTAAAAATTTCGTATGAACCAATAATAATAATAATAATAATCGTTTTACATTAAACTGATCCATAAAAGCACCATTTTTTTTTTATTTCAAAATTTTACCATATTCTTTCTCTCTTTTATAAAAGATTCCGTTTCATTTATACACGTTGCCTATTTTGAAAAGAAAAAAACAAACCTTTTTTCTTCTCTCTCTCTCTCTCTCTCTCCCCGCTCTGATTTACCCCAGGTTCTTGTAGAAATTACCAACCTAATTAATTATATACGTAAACCTGTGACAATTCTGCGCCCACCCAACCCTTCGCCTACACGCATGAAAGCGTACGTGTGCTTTTGTGCGTGACTCTGAACGTCAGTGCGCGTGTCGCGTTGGTTTGTATACCTTCGCTGTCTCAAAATGACGCATATACCTCTCTTGCTCCTATAGAATTTTAACCATTTTTTTTTCGGCATGCTCTTACGAGGTTTATGAGTATTTGTTTTTATTTCTCGCCTGTAAGATGTTTATTTATAGCAAATCAGAACACAGTATCGGAATTTCTATCAGGAGTGGTGTATGCAACAAAATATAATTTACCTACATGGATATATATATATGTATAATTAACGGTGCCAGTAGTTTTTACGCATATTTACCTAAAAACACAGACATATGGTAACTGAATTTGTTTTTAAATTTGTTTCTTTCTAGGTTCGGTACAAATATGTATGAATTAACAAATTTTATAAGAACGTTAAGAAAATAATTTTTTATTAATTTTAAAAGGGACTAAATTTTTTTTTATTATTTTTAGTTTTACAGAAGAGAGAGAAATATTATTTATAACATTTTTTTTAAACTGCATTTTTTTGGGTTTTTTTTTTTGTGATATTTATTAACAAACGCAAACATAAACGAAAGGATATAAATTTAAGCACGTGTAAATATATTTAATCTTCATCGCCAAAAAGCGGATTTTCGCTTATTAAAACTGGATAAAATATTATTAGATTTTTTTTAATAACGCGAAACCTAATAGAATTATTTATATTGTTAATTTTTTAAAAATTATATATATTTCTTTATTTAAATAAAAAAAGAATTGAATTAAAAAAAAAAAAAAAATTAATATCCCAAATACAAGTTTTGTCTGTTACGTCATCTACTGGACAACATGGAACGATTAACAGAATTTGTGAGTAAGTCATTTGACGCCGAGTCGGAACAGCAAAAAAGTGACTTTAATGAAAAAATGCAAATCATCTCAGAGGTGGATCGCCAGTCTGGCCACCACACACATCACCATCATCACCACTCGACTTCCCATCCGACGTCGACGCCGGCGCACCCGACTAGTCTGGAAATAGGGACCGCTAGTGGTACGGCCAGTGCCGGCGCCGGCAGTGCTCTTTTACTGGCGGAAAAGAATGAGGACATGACCACAATAGATGTGGTAGACGATGCGGAACTAACACCAACGAAAAGTATGTCCACAATGTCCAGTCCGAGTGACCCAAACCGAAGAGAGTCCTTTTCAGGTAAGTTCAGGTACATTCATTAACGCACGCAAACACACACACACACACAGTCACACACAGACACACACACACAAACATTTAACATAACATATGTATATATATATATATATATATATATATATATATATATATATATATATATGTTGAGGTCTGTTCCTTGGCAAAACATGTCAAAGTAAAAAAATTTAACAAGTAATTTTATATGAATTATATGTGTATATATAAATGTATCATTTTTTTGATGTTGCCGGTTCTTGGGTGAAACATGTTCAAGTAAAATTGTTCTAAATCATCTTAATATATAAATATATTATCTATCTATCTATCTATCTATATATATATATATATATATATATATATATATAAACAGTCTGTCTGTGGATGATACGTATCTACAATCTATATCTATCTATCTATCTATCTATCTATCTATATATCTATATATATATATATATATATATATACGAATGGGTAAATATAGGTAGGTATACGAGCGAGCCATCATATACAAATATATATATAAATACTCTATGGTGTAAGAAAAAAACAGTCCTCAATAATAAATATAAACAATCTGTCTGTTGATGACAATATACATATATATATATATATATATATATATATATTACGTATCTATTAATCTATATCTATCTTTCTATCTATCTATATATATATATATATATATAAAGTAACAGAGCTATTTATTATATATGTTAAGAAATATGCATTTCAGCATGAAACTTCGGGGTTGTGCGATTAATGCAAGATTTTATATATATATATATATATATATATATATATATATATATATATATATATATATATATTATTAAAACGTTATTTTTACTCAGTACACGTGTTTGGATTGCTTTCCCGGTTTTTCGTAAACAGTAAAACAACCGGCCTAGATGAAAAAAAATAAATAAAATAAACAGATAAAACCATTGATAGCAACACAAACACGTGTACCCACTCAAAATAACGTTTATAGCAATAAGAAATAAGCTCGGCTTTAAAAACACACACTCTCTCTCTCTCTCTCTCACACACACAAACATACATACGCACACATACACACATATATATATTTGAAATATATTTTTTATATAATATACACAAACACACACGTTTTTATTTTTAATCTGACATTTTTATTACTTCAATCGTTATTTGAATAAATTTCAAAAACGATGTGCCCATAGCGTATATATATATATATATATATATATATATATAATATATATATATATATATATATATATATATATATATATATGTATGTATGTATATATAAAATTTGGGTCTGACATTTCAAATATAAATATACAAAAATATTCATAATTGAAATGTTTGTTTTCACTCTCAGAAAATAACTAAATTTTCACAAAATGCCGATTTTTAAAGCCATTGAATAATTTTTAAAAATTTTGTTTAAACATTATACAATATTTTTGTTTAAACATTATACAATATTTTTGTTTAAACATTATACAATATTTTTGTTTAAACATTATACAATATTTTGCAAGGAGTTTTATAATTCAAATTTTCTCAAAATATCTTTCTTTCAAATCTGACCCACGTGTTATGCATAAATGCCGAAAATTTGATCTGTCTGTCAAGTGTCAAGATACTTGCTTTCTCTTTCCTTTGTCTTTTTTCCTTTCAATGATTGAACATCGGTGTCTGTTGAAATATTTAATATTATTTATATAATCGTTAATCGTTTGACTTTAAAACACAGGACTTAATGATGGAATTCTTAATTCTTTGTTGAAAAGTCTTCGTGCATGACAGATATCGTCGATATAATCTTTTTTAGATGTAATGGACTCATAAACATGGACGGGTCGAAAAAAAATTGCCACCTCAGAGAATTTTTATTTACGAATTAATAATAATAATAATAATAATAATAATAATAATAATAATAAAGAACTGTATGTTGGCAAAGAAAAATATTTTCTGTTTTTAATTTTGGTATTCAAACACATTGCATATTGGCTGGCAAAGGAGCCATTTTCAGATATATTGTCATTAGAAGAGATTTTGGGGTTTGACCAAGAACTTTTTTTTTTAACATGCTTATTGTATCTATATAAATGAATGTAACAGTGAACACGGATTTCAACACCACACCAAGTGGCGACAGTCAGTTTTAATCATAAAAACAACCTTTATGCTATCTATCTCTCTCTCTCTCTCTCTCTCTAT